AAACTCCCCTGAATAATCTAGACTTCAAATACAACCTCTCTGAAGAGGTGCATTTAAAAAATCTCAGCAAGCTGACAGGGTTTATGGGAATAACAGCAAACATTTCTCTGCATGAAGATAATTCCAAAAAGTCTGTACTTAAGGAAAATAATGAGGAATGGCAACCTCCCCCCCTCTCCCCCCTCCATTTTGTCTTCATTCTAACTCTCAACAGAGTTAGGCATAGACTGATGGCTCACTTCTATAAGTGGAGCTTTTCAAATTGCTGTGTTCTGCCCCAAATCCTGCAGGCAGCCATTCCTGTTGGCAGATTTCCAGCAGCCCCCGTGAAGGGAAGGGTCTGGGCTTTACCACGGACTGGTCACCAGCTGAAGCTTGGGCCATATGAATGGGGGCCCCTCTGACAGCCTTATTAACACAAATGATTTTTATTCTGCATGCCTGGGTAAGCCATAGGCACATGCCTGCAAGATCAAGGCTTCAGTCATTAGTAATTTGGGCAATTGCTTCACCTAAAGCCACACTCTGTCTGCACAGAAATCTTTCCGGGAATCTGGTAAAAGATTGATGAAAATTAAACATCTACTTAGTGAAGCTGAAGTAACCAATATATGATTAATACTTTCCAATTATATTTCAGTACAGTACATTGCTGAGTTTGTTATTACCTGCACTCTTAACACTCCATCTGCAGTGTTAAATCCATCTGTTGCTGAAAATATGACTATATCTTCAAGGGTTTCTGAATCATCACGCTGGTACCTTTTAACATAATTATAATGAAAAGCGATATTCATTATCCAGCGGAAATTAGAAACCTATAAATATGAGGGGAGGGGAGCGAGGGAAGAGCTGAGGTCCAGCATTGCCCACTATCTCAATTGATCATGTTGGCTTCTCTCACTTGAAGTATTGCTCTGGGCTCTGGATTTAGCAATGCCAGTCCCACTGGTTTCACTGATGTTTTGTTAACCTCTCATGGGGACCTAGTCCCTCAGCTTTATTCTGCCAGGTGGAGGTGGGCAAGAGAAGTGAGTTCATGACTGGCATCCACATCAGGGTGTGGAGACAGCACAGACCTGAGGGTGTGTCCCATGGCCAAAGCTTCTGGTGGGGAGAGATGACAAACCTTGGGAATTGCTCACCTGTCTGAGGAGGAATGGCTGTGGACCCTTAGCACTGGGCTGTCACCTGCTGAAATGGCAAGAGAAATGTTCTGGTCATTCCTACCTTTGAGAAGGATCTAAAGCAGAGGGTGCTATTTCTAAATACTCAGTTAAATTGTCAGAATAAATATATCATATTTCTGTGCATATATCTTAGATGTTAAAGAAACCCCCACCTTAATACAGCAGCAGCTGGTTTAAATGTGCCTGCAGGTAACAGAAGGCAAAGCTTATGCCACAGTCTTCCCTGAACTCTGCTCCCTCCACATCCTTCCACATCCTCTGCCCTGTTAGGATTTGTGCTTACAAAACTGCAACTCTCCTTTTTAAACCATTAAAAGAAAAATATGAATTTTCAGACACCATTACACAGTTATGGATAAGATATAAGCTTCACTTCCACCCAAATCCCACAGCAGAGGGTCCATTTTTGAAACTCTGTGTAGTAACCAACTATGGAGAATTTTACAGGAAGAACTCAAACGTACTTATTCTAAAAGCCTGCAAACAAAACTCCTTCCACCTTGGCAAGTCCATGCAGATCAATGAAACTGGAGAGAGGAGGTTTATTAACTAGAAAAACTTTCAGATCCTCATGGGAGGATGAAGCAGGGTTTTCCTTTGCTGCATCCAGGGGGGACCATTCCACCAGGGCACCTTCCCACAGTTTGGGCCTGGAAGGGGTTCTCTGGTGCTCAGCAGGTGTGCCTGTGCTGTTGGAATAGGAGTAATCCTGTCACTTGGCGTGAGAGATGGACAAAAATTACAAGAAAAACAAGGATACCTCTCTATCTAAGACTCTTGAGTTAGAAGTGAAGCTGCTGTGCCTTCTCAGCAAGAGAGGACAGAGATGCTTTCGTCTGTGTCATCAGAAACAGAGGATAAGTGGGGTATTACCCCACTGTGGTGGTTTTTGAGGCTCAAGGATTTCTGAAATCAAAATCAATCTTTCTCCTATCTGAAAGAAATCCACAGGGTTAATAGCTAGAGGCACACAGCTAAATGTGATTTTGAGAAAAACAAGAGTAAGACGATGCAGTATTTCTACAGCAGAGAAAATGGGCTTGGAGTTTTAAAAATATCCTTCAGGAAAAAACATAGAAAATAAAACTACTGAGCTGACTGAAGAAGCTTCAGTATTGCTTTCCTCTCACCAAGCTTTTATTGCTATTCTTTGAAACATAATTGGTGATAATTTTCTACTTGGAGTCTGACACAAATCTTACAAGCTACTAAAGGTACTTGGAAAACAAAAGAATAGGTTGTTTTATTTCTCTTCCTAAACAATTTGCTGTTGGAAACAATGAAGCCTCTTGAATGACTCCAAGACTTCAACTGCTTGTTTAAATTCTCAAATAATCCTTTCCTTTGGTTGCATTTTCTTCACTGCAAGTAACTCTTGCTTCTTTTGTGCTTTCCCACTGTTCTGGGCAAATTGGTCTCAGGGCAGAGTTTAACCATTTAACTGAAGGATATAGCCTTGAGCATTATAAGCTTTACCCAGGACACTCAAAATTCACCCTCCACAAATATTCATTTCATACTGGCAGGAATTTTGCAGATCCTGTTAACCTACCTGGTACTTTAGTATTTGCTAGAACACTTAACAAAGAACACATGCACACATACAAACTCCAGACAGAATAAATTTGATGAATAATTTGGATTTGTGGAGAAAATGTTTGTCTGGCTCCTTTCAAGGAATGCAGGCACCTTGAATAAGCTTTATGCTCTGACTTTAGCAGGGGCTTGCTTACTCAATGGTGCAATACAAATACTTTCCAAAACTATAGGAAGAAGTCAGGCAATAAATGTGTGGAAGAATCTTCAGGGCTTATTATTCAGCAAAGGAATTGCCAAACCTGGATTTTTCGAGCAATGCCATGAAAAGATAGAAAGGTAGAAAACACTTAATTGAGAGAACTTTCCTGCCAGATGTGTCAGAGTGCTGGCAGGGAACAGAAACACCAGCAGTGGGTACAGCTCACCATTTTTATTTTTTATTGTGTGAAATCAGAGATGGGTTTTTCTGGTTTGGCACAGAAACTGCCAAGCTCTTACTCTGCAGAGATTCAGGAGTGAGCACAGCTCCTGCTGTTTGCCATGGGGAACCCAGGAGCTCGTGCAGGTCTTTGAAATACAAGGCTTGTCCATTACCAAAAAAGCAAGTGACTCATGTTGCTGGAAAGCACTGGAGTCCTCACTGGACAGATTTCAGTGAAACACTAAGAAAGTCGCTAATTTTGGTCCATTTTTGTGAGAATCATGGATGAATTCTCCAGTCTCTGCATGTGGAATGTTGTTCTCTGCAGTGAGGCTGCACTCCACAACAGTCAGAAATAGGATTGAGAAGGTGATGCTTCTGCCTTTTTTCTACTTTTGTGCTTATTTGTTGTATTTTAACTTAAAAATCTAGATTCCAATAAGCATAATTTGTTCTCATGCCTCTCCCAGCACCCTTTTATGAAAGCAGAGTTTAAAAAAATTTTAGTAATAATACTTGCAAATTATGTCAAAAGCTTTGCTTGTTTACCTGAAAGATGTCAGGTCTGAAGCAGCAGGACTTGTTTTGTTTGGTTGGCTTTTAGGCTGCAAAAATTAGCTTCCACACACTGTAAAAATTTGTAAAAGGGAAAAAGAAATGTTAGATCTTTTCCCTATCACCTTATAAAGTGTAATTCAGCTTGACAGTTTCATATACACGGGAGAAGTGAGAGAAACAAAGCATTAACAGCACACACGAGTTGATTGTCTGGAGATTTGGTCTCTGGAGAGCAGAGCTGACGCCTTGTGATGGTGCAAGTTTCTTTGACAACAAGTTGTGTGTAGTTCCAGGCTCCCTCTGGCTCGTGTAACACAAGGGAACAGTCTAAAAGATGGCTGAAAAATACAGACTGATCCCACTCCACTGGTACCCGCTCAGCTCTCAGCTCATCAGTTCATAAAAATTCCCTTTCAAGCACTGGTTTTTTTTCCCAGTATCTTGACATTTCTATTAATTTTCTATATTTGCTAAAGTGTTGCAAGGAATGAATTGAAACAGCATACCTAAAGAAAAGAAAAGAAGAAAAATAAAAATTCAATTGGTCTTTTTGCTTTCACCTGTTTTAATACTGGTCAAAATCCAGAGCAAGTCTTGGTTTGAATCAAGTAATTTGTGTAAAACAGAAGCATTGTGTTATTACAGATGAACAGCTTCAGCCTTCTCATTCCTGCACAATTTCCTATTATGCAATATTTCTCTGCATGGCTTTCAAATATTTTGAATGCTATGTCATTTTATAAAAAAGCCATACTTACATGAGCATCAAAGATTAGGCAGTTCTTGACTATCAGATAAAATCAATTTGAGTGAGTCATGAAAAGACCTCTTCTTCAAAATGGTGATGGTAGACAAGGCTGTAGAAGAGATTGCTTTGCAAGCATATTGACACAGGGATATCTTAAAAATGCAAGATCCATCACAGATCCTTTCAGGCACTCATCTGCTGTTTTTCTTTTCTCCTTTTACTCCTGCATTAATTCAAGCCCCAAATAACCCCATCCACCACACCAGGGGACCAGTGGCAGCTATGCATTTTCAGCCATGTGGACAGCTCTGTCCTGCACTCCCAAACATTTGTCAATGAATCACTGTAGCTGGAAAAGGTCTTTAAGATCAAGTCCAACCATGACCCCAGCACTGTTCACTCCATCACAGAGCAGTACCAGGGGACCTCCCCAGGCTGCAGCACCTGCTCGGCCCATCTACAGTGGATTCCTTGATAACCTCCAGCACTTGTTGGCTTGGTTGATTCAGTGGGAATATAATAATTGCTTAATTAAACCCACAAATAAAGCATCAATATAGGTATTTCAGGAAGAACCATCTTCCCTTTTGCAAGCTTGAGGGTGACATTGCTCACCAGGTTGTCATCTGTTGGTGGGATGGCAATGGGACACCTTTGCTTGAGGGAAACCAGTGCCTAATGCTTTGCCTTCCATCAAATACTCTTAAAGCAGCCCAGTCCTTGGCTGTGTCTCTCTCATCGTGCTGGAAATAGGCAACTGCATCCTCAATGTTTTCAAACTCGAAGCTTTTGCCTCCTGTTATATAAATGCAGAAAGAAAGTTACCATGTGCTCTTTCTATCAACACAAATTACCAATAACATTTTCAAATTTAAGTAGATGAGACACACGTCTTCTGTTCCCTGTGTAAAGGCTGGATCCACTTAAAACCAACAGGAGCCTTTTCATTCACTTCAGTGAACTTTAGATCACGTTCCAAAGAAGTGACATGATTATTTTTTCACCCTCAAATATACATTGGGCTGTTCTTAGTAACAAGCCTGAACTCTGCAGACTCTCACTGAAGAAATTTCAAAAGATGTGAAAATCTTATGTTTCTTTCAGAAGAATTTCTATTAATTTTTCTGAGACACATGCAAAAAAGTCTAACCTTGCCTAGGCAGATTATGGGGGTAGGTTTAACAAGAAAAAGGGTGCTTATATTCTGTAGATGTTGCATTGCATCCCATAGCTGAACTCAGATCTGACACAGCACCTCACACTCTGATCCATGCTGGGGCCTTCCTTCACCAGGAGCTGCACAGCATTCAGGTAATCATGGGCAGAAATCTGTAGAGGATCAAAGAATCACAGAATCACCAAGGCTCCAAGGATATCAAGTCCAACCATCAGCCAAGTACCACCTTGTCAGTAAAACCATACCATGAATTGCTATGAATTGTCTCTTGTTTTTTGAACACTTCCACTTTTGGATGGTGACCCCACCACTTCCCTGGGGAGCCTGTTCCAATGTTTAACCACTCTTTCAGTGAAGAAATTTTTGCTAGTACCCAGTCTAAACTCTCCTCTGGCAACTGGAGGCCATTCCCTCTTGTCCTGTGTATCCTACACTGCAGGGCACTACTCCACAGCCCAGCCCTATGATACAGGTGCATATAAAAACTGAAGGCTGATAATAAACATTTGCATTGCTCTTCGCAAAGAGCCACGCAGCAAAATTCAAGATGCCAAATCATCTCTTGCATCCACTTTAAGTGATTCATTTGGGGAAGGGAGGTTTTATAATGTTTATTTGAGCCTGGAGGAACTATCCTGTTAGCACACCAATAAATGTTGAGTGTAATACCACAACACTTTCCTATTTTTCAATACCAAGGGAATTCTCACAGCGTTGTGTCTGCAGCAGGCAAGGAAAAGCAACAGCTTTCCCCCCTGAGCCAGCCTGCCTGCCGTGTGCCAGGTCTGCACGAGCCCGGGGTCCTTCCAGAACAATATGTTAACCAGGAAATTGGAACTTTGGAGTAGAAACTTAATCCAAAATCAGAAAGAAACATGAAAATGTGTACAAACAGTTCTCCAACTGGTGTATTTTAAAACACACTTCTCTTTTTTTTCCCTTTTTTTTTTTTCTTTTTCATTTCTGCGTTTTTAATCCCCCTTATTGTGAGCAGGAAGAGGTGCAAGATTAGGGTAACAGTAAAAGAGAGGAAAATTTCCAAAAACTGAAAGGCAGAAAAGAATTTAATTATAACCCTTCTTTCTCCACCCCAAAACTTCTCGAAGTAGATTCCCAATTAAAATTTAGGCAGAGGTTATATATAATGACCAAAAATACACTTTAAAAATACTGTTGTGTGTAGCACTACCTTTGGAGTACTCTTAGCAGAATAGATTTTATGTAAAACATTGATTCTCAGCAACAGTTTGTAGGAGAAGCATGTGCACATGAAATATCCACAGGATTTGTTTTCCCCCAACGCCATAAAAATTGTCATTTTGTAACAGACTCACTGCCCAGCCACATTCTTTCAGACTATGTAAGCAGGCTAAAAGACCTCAAGATCACAGTGCATCCTTCTGTTCTCACTCTGGGAGCTAAAATTCTCTTCACTTGTGAAGATGTTGCAAGATTTTTATTTTGCAAGTCATCAAAGAGCACGGAGTATCTTAAAATAAAAACCACCAAAAAAAAAGTCCAGAAAATGTTCTGCACACACAAGAGTCTCCAGACTTGAATTTTCCACATCCTAAAATTTATTTGTGTGTCTAAATTCCTTTTTGCTTAGAGGAGCTAAATGCAAAAAGACTTGGAAGGATGGGTCTTTAAGTGAGAGCTGTAACTTCAGTGCTGCAACTGGACAGAGCAGTAACACAGCAGGGACAAGTGGGAACAAGCCAGGCACACTGTCATTTACCTCCTGAAATTCCAGGCATTTCAACACTTAAAACCCTGTGACCTGTAAAATGTTTGTCTTATCTAACCCTCAGAAGCCTTCAGAGTTTCTCCTTCAGCAGTCAGAAGGTTTGGCTATTGCTCAGGAAACAAAGGTACATCTCATTTGCAGTGAGATAACTCCACGAGCAGAATTAGCACTAACAGAGAAGAACCAAGTCCAAGGTATATTTTTGAAACACTCATCAGACTTCAAAGAGCCATAACTCCACTGTCCCAAATGTACCTGCAGATGTATTAACATGCACTCAAAAGCACTGTGAGCTCACACAGTGACACAAGACCATATATAACCCTTCAACCCATGTTCCATCCAACCTTGGGAGCTCCGGCCTTCACACTTCCTTTGAAAAATGGGCTGCAACAGGAGAACTGCTCATGAGCACATTATCAGTTGCTTGAAACTCAGCCTAGCAAAACAAGCAAAACAAACACTCCCTGAAAGATTAATGCAGCATTTTCTGACTGGCAAGCTTGCTTTGGATGTAGTACAGCAGGGCTGACTGCAGACAGCCAGGCTCCATTACTTCATAGACCTGTCTCGCAGCAGGAGACACATCGGGTGGCAGGTACCGATTCTCAGATCACAGAGATCCTGCCGAGTGAGGGATGTCATGGGCTGTGCACAGCCCTCCAAACGGGTGAGCCATCCCTGCAGCAGGGGGTTAGCAATGTGCAATGTTACTTTTTCCCTTTGCTGTTTCTGCATCTTCAGCGTCTTGGGCCACGGCCGTCACTCTGCAAGGGTGAGCTGCTGAGCTTCTGTGATGAACGTAGACTCAAAGGCAGCTGCACATTGTGCTTGTAATACCTCCCTTTACCAGGACATAAGTCCAAAAATTTCTGTTTATAAGTAAGAAAGCCCAGTGAATCTTTGCACTCACATTAGCAAGGGTGAGGGAATTCCCAAAGGCAGGCAAGTGCACATGCGTGGGTGTGTGTATATATAGACATCAGGCAACTCTTGGATGCATCAACAAGTTACTGGGATAATGCTAGAGAATTAACAGTTAAACACAGCAATTACCTTCTAAGCTTTGCCTCAGACAGTCAATAATCTTGTCCCAGTTAATGCAGCTGGCAAAATTGTCATTTGAAAGGGCAGGATTCTCCAGTAGACTCTTGAACAACTGCACAAAGAAAGGTGATGCACAGGTCAGCATAGATGCACAGAGCAATCCAGTCAAAGATCTCCCAGATTTTGGCACTTGTTTTTTATTAGTTATGTCAGCTAAGTGTAGGAAGGCATGGCATGGATGATAAGCCCTAGAAAACTTCAAAAGTCCAGTTTGTGCTCTTTAATCTGGACAACTGGAATTCTGCATGGGAATGATGCATACACTCTCCACAGGGGAAAAAACCCATAGGGTTTTCAAATTCACAAAAGTGACTCTGTGTGTATTTGTGGCCATAGCTACTTCTAATCAAATCCCAGCTAGACAAAAAGCACTATTAGCAAGCTACCCATTGTTTACTTTTTATTAATAAAATTAATTCAATTCAGACAGGTAATCACAGGCATGTTTTTAGCTAAAAATGGACAGGGGTTGTGATAGACCACTTTTTCCCTCCTTTATCATTTATTCATGGCAAGGCACTGACAAGACACTGACAAGATTAATGACAAGATCACAGAAAGTTATTAGGTTTCCAGGTACCAAAAAACCCACAACTTTATTTTCTTTCAAGATCCATTAAACTCTTCCACATCAGTTTTTCTTTTGTTTTACCACTATTGTTTAAAGACACCTTCAAGATGCAAACCACAGCTAGATGAGTTGCAAGCTAAGACAAATCCTTGTTAAAAATCTAGGCAATGCTTCTACAACAAACACTTTTAAATCCAAAAATAAGCTTATCCCAATGCTGTTTGTTTTCAAATCTTTCCTTCTAGCTGCATTTTTTCAGGTATTCAGGTAGATGCCCCTTCTCCCTGCCACTACTTGACCTGAAGCAGGGAGCAATGTCTCCCAAGCCAGGCTCCATGCAGGCAGACTGTACAGGAAACGAAGGCTGGGATTCTTCTGCCTGCTCTGTCAGATGTGCCAAGCAATTTGTGGAATTCCAGAGGCATTTGTCCAACAGGAGGAACACTTGACTCCAGCTTCCTGGTCTGTACATGAAAACAAGTATTTCTATGATAGTCTCCAGTTCAGCAGACCTGAAAGTGGAGGATTTATTACACACAAGATCAAGAAGCCTCTCCTTTGATCATTTATACAGTGAATGGAGGCATTCAGAGCCCAGCTCCAGCACACTCTGAAATATTCCTGGACACAGCCAAGAACAATAACTAAGCATTGGTTGGAGAGCAGATCCTTTGCTGGGGGACATCACACAGCAACTTGGTTGGTTTTGGTGGGGAAACAACAGTTTACACAAGCTAAAAATGTAATCTTTTTGCACATGGAGTTCTTTGTAAACCATGCTTTGATACACATCTGGGAACCAGATAAAAACACTTCAGATAAATCATTTGAAGGTTTAGAGAGCTTTACGTGCTCTCTCAGACTTTCAGTTGAAGAGCAGAGGCCAGAAGTCAGCAATGACTACACCTCAGTAGCAACTAACCATTATAAATATCAAAGTTGCACTCATTTGGGCAATTTCTGGGAGCTTTCTGTTCTGTTTCTGAAGTGCTCTCTTCAGACCTCTGCATCTTTTATTCTGTGGTACTTAGATAATTACACCCCATGCTTGAGTAGGGCTGGATATCCCACTGAACCTTGAAACATCAAAAAAGGATTGCCAGAACATTTCTTTCCCTGTAAATCAAACAGCTCCATGATGCCCACAGAAAGTTTTCCCCATGACTCAACCCCTCATTCAGCCATGGCCTGTCCCAGAAATGGGACAGCACCTGCAAGTTATTGTCACCTTGGAAGGAATCTTTCATACAACCCAAGCACTTGGAGTTTTAAGGTGTAGGGAAGTCCCAGTCAGTTGGAGCTACCCAAGAAGATGAATATTTGTCAAGAAGTTTCCTTTGACACTTGGCTGAAGTGTAGTTCTGAAGTGATCTTCTCGTAAGAGTTATCACAGCTCTTAATTAGCAACAAGATTTTTCAGAAGGACATAAAAAATGAGGTGGTGGACAGCTTCCAACAGGGTGAGCTTTGGAAAACCCTAGGTGACAAAAAATGCAAGGACAATAATCACCTCCAACTCAGTATTGAAACACAAAAGAGGGCACTCCCTTAAATTTTAAGTCACATTATCACAACTGAATTCTCACCTCCAAGTTCTCAGACTCACACTATTTTCTTCCAAAAACTGGTCAGCCATTGTCAGTATTCTTAACTTCTTAGTGGCAATCAAAATTTTTGTTAAAATAAATGGTACTAACAAACTGGTAAAGAGAAAAAACATCATTATTTTATCAGCCAAATCCAACAGTGTTGTCTCAGGAGGCACCTGAAATTTTGCTTACATAAGTGCTGTAGGCTTGAGCTCATGCTAAGACAATCTCAACAACATTTTCAGCTTTAGTAGAATAACTTTGATGTTATAACTTCAGTCATTAGGACAGCAACAATTTAAGATAGGAAATAAAGAGGAAAAAAATTGTCTTTGCACAAGTTATTCTATGAAGGGCTGGAATATTAATATTATTGGGTGCATGAAACCCTGTGCAACCATGGAAACCATGGCATTGGATCCATTCAGCCTCCAAAGTGAGCTGGGGCCTATGGTTGCTATGAGAGGATATAGCACACACCTCTCAGCAGTTCTGCTTAGAAAGTTCTATTGTGTGTTTGTCTACACTTCATCTCAGCACAAAGCTATTTGTGGAACCGAGGTTAAGGAGAGGGTTCTGAAATCTGAAAACATACCTTACAGATTAATTTAGGAAATCAGTTGCTCTTTCACAACACTTTGGAGCTTATTTGTGACAATTTAACTGATATCTTCCCTTGTTCTGAAAAGATAAAAAAAGGATATAGAGAATTTGACTTGGAGAAGTTAGGGATTAATTTAAATTCCAGGAGCATATATGTATCCTTTTCAAGCTCATCCTCAGCCCAGACATCCTACAGACAGCCTGCAGGAGTTGGTATAGAAACATGTGCTGGTTTATGGGTTTTTAAAAAATTTAATTACAAAATTTTAAGGAAAAATATAAATGTAGATCTTTTGAAACAATAAACTCAAAACTGTAGCTATTATTTAATCAATTATCTTTTCTAATTACAAGAGCAATTACACTAGGAACAATAACATGGCAAATAAAAACATCTTGATGTACAATAATAAAGCCTAAATATCAAAAAGAAGTTTTCTAAAAGATTTATGAACTTTCAGTTCAGGAAATGATATCTGTAGCAGGATGGGGTGGGAGGAAACTTCCCTGTGAAAAGCATGGAACTCACCTAAACCAACAGCGTACTTTTGTGTCATTTAAATCCACTTTTCCTACCTTGCAGGACCTGCTCTCTCTGGGAAGACTGAGCTAGTTTGGTCTCCATAACGTTCGCCATCTGTCCCCTCTCCGAGCTGATGCCTCTGCTCCCCAAGACAAATTTTGCTGCTTCTACATATGCAGGATGCACCAGAAATACCAGAACATCCAACCTGAGAAAACTTAGCAGAGCTTCGATCGTCTGAGTCCAGGTGCCTTCTTTAGTGTGGTTGAAGTGTTCAGCGGATGACAGTGCTCGTTCCTGGGAATAACAGCCAGGAGCAGCCTTTCTGCTCAAGAAAGTCTTGGAATTGCTTCCAGCTTCACCTCTGTCAGAAGGAGTTTTTATTCCTATTTCATTTTAAAGTCTATAAAAGAGCCACCCAGTTTCCTCCGAGCTGTTGTGGGGGCATCTTGCTCGGTATCCCTCAGCAGCCCGGTGGCCATGGCTGAGCAGCTGGCAGGTGTTGCAGGTTTGGATGGGTGCAGGTCAGTACATCCCCCTGAGGAATGTTCAGCAGATGGAAACGGCTCCCCTGGCACTCAGACAGGCTGGGGAACACCCTCTAGAGAAATACTCTACAATAACATTGGAGAAGGCAGAATCTGTTTACCTGAAGATGTTCAAAACCATACACTCAGCACCAAAAATGATTATTCAGTTGTGGCAGTAACCAAAAATTACTGAAAAATGTAAATGTTTTACTTACATAGCAGATGGCAGAGCACTCTTCTTCCCCTGCTTTTGTTTAGTGGATCATTATTTTGGAAGACCCAACTCCAAGGGCAGTTTCCTGTTCTGTGCAAGACTCATGTGTCCTGCACAAGAAGCCAAAGGGGTTCAAATCTCCTTTGCACCAGAAAGAGCAAGGCTGGTTCACAGGGAGTGGTGCCACATCCATGGAGTATGTCACATCTCCTTAGGAAAGTGTTCTCTAAAATTCTCAGTGCCTCCTTTTTCATGTATGTTTTTTTTCCAAATGTGATTGTAACACCTGCATCCTACTCCTGCATCACACTTTGCTCTTACCAAGCAAAATAGGTGCTTAAATGCTTTCATAAAAGTGCTTTTGGAAAAGTCTATGTGAGAAATACCAGGCAAATGCTCAACTCCTGATTTACAAATGGTAGCAAATCCCTCAGCCTGAGCCTTTGCCATTAATTTACAAAATAAACATTCTTAGGAAGAGCAAAAGCTGTGAATGGGCTGGAGGCAGCAGGGAGGATGTCAGGGTTGGTGCCCTGGTTCAAACACCAGTACACTCATGAACCACTGAAGGACCAAGGGCCCTGTTTTGGGCACATCTCTGTTGTTATCTCCAAGGATCCAGATTAAAGGGCTGCCAGGAATTATGAATCCAGACATCCACTATTGGTTTATGAAATATTTTAGCTTTGGGATAATGCACACGAGAATCCTCACTTTAAGCCAAGCGCAGAAGCAGAGAGGTGTCTCGTGGATGGCAAGGAGCACCAAGGATCACTCTGCTCATTCAGGATCAGCCTTATTTCAGAGACAGCTCTGAAGCTTCTGTTTGCAGCACGTTTGCAGCTATAACCTTAAGGTTTCAGAGTGTGAATTACTGTGGTGACATGATGAGGCAGAGAGAAATTGCAGTGACCTGCAAGCTACTGTTTGGAAGTGTGTTAACCCTTTCCTACCCGTAGCCACAGGCACTTCTCATGGCTGAAAGCACATTGTACAGGTCATTGGGTGCCCTGATTGAAGTAACTCTTCGGAATTTGGGCTCATTGAGACACACAAGGAGAAATATTTTAAAGGAGTAAAAATCAGGAACATAAAATTTAAATCAAGGGCTATTTTTAATATTCGAGTAGTTGTAGTAATAGAGCCTTTCTCTTACTTTCTACCGAAACCATGTTTCACACAAAACTGAGTAGCTCTCAAAAACTGCACTCATCTATCAATAAATCAAGAAAGAAGCTGCCATGTTTAGGGGAAGAACAAAACTTAGGACTTCACTACATTAGTGATTAAGCAATATCAGAATCTCTCTTGGCTTCCTGATTTACTCACTAAAATTCAGCAGACTTCCTCACAGCAGGAAGTAAATCTCCATTCTGGATGGCAAGATCTCCACTCTGCTGAAGTCAAAGTAACTTTTCCCTATGAGATACAAACTGAAAGAGGATTTAATCTACTTCCAGCATTAGGCTTTTGCATCTAGTTCGGATTTGGCCATGCATTTATATTTTAATGTCTAAGTTCTAACACTCTTGGAAGTCATGCATGTTCCAAACTTCTAATCAGTGTGTAGGGATGGCAATTGTGATATCTAGGTTCAGGTACTCCAAACTCTTATCTCTCTCTTATACCCTATACATGTCCTTAGGCCTCAGAGCTACGTAGGCTATATGGAATATTAGTGAAAGTAACTTAGAATTTAGGCCAACACAATCTTGGCCTATATCACATCTTATAAATGTGATATATTTACTTTTGATAGTTTGATGTAATATATAAAACACATAAGCTCTTACTGTATTAAATAAATGCTGAGAGCTAGCAATATCAAGATAGATTTATGATTTCTCCCATCCATTGTTTTACCAGTGATAATCAAAAAGACTACTTGATTTAGACCATTTAACTGACTTTTTTGTCATTTTTTAGTTAATGTATATTTTAGTATATTTGCCCTTACTTTTAACAAATTTGCATAGGTGCAGGCTCACACACAAATCAAAA